ACAATAAAGTTACAGGTTTTCGTCTCTTTCCTGGGTTAGTTTTTGATCAAATTAAGAGCGTGGTGCCTCGAGGTCAGATAATTTGCGTATTTAAATAATTCACTAATAATTCATTTTAGAATATACCCAAAACCCCTACAAGATGTTCTCATTGGGAGGGATAAGAATGGATATTGAGATCAGAGGTACAGCACAGGTTGAACCACTGGGAGATAAAGTTAGAGGCCAGACTGAGTCGGCTTGGCCAGTGGAGGGACAGTGAATATATTGGTAGAATGATGTTAGAGATGCAGCTGCTTGGAAAAAGACGGAGGAAATATGGATGAATGTTAGAGAGGACTTGGAGGCAGATGGAGTATAGTGGCCTCTGAAAAGGGAACTGTTAAAAGAACTGTGTAAGAAGACCATCATGGYCACACAAACGTCCATTGTCACACCAGAATTATCCCATATTTCAAAAATGAATGGTGCCTTTTTACTGAATTGATTACAGACATAAATATTTTTAATCTTGGAACACAACTACATTAATAAAGGAMAGATATTTTGAAGCAAAAACCCTTTTTTGTAATAACATACATGTGTATTAAAGACGGTAGCCTATTTTTTGCAGCYACCGGTAAATGAACATCGATCCTATAGAAGCCACGGATTCCTAAATGAAGGTGGTAGATATGAGCTGAAACCCTCAGGATTTAAACACCAGCAGTGGAGTTAGGAAGAACAGATAAAGAGATGGAGGAGGGCAGAGTATAAAAATGGCTTAAAGGCAGAATTACATTGATATTTAAATGATATTAAAGTGGCGAGGCCTATGGGTTGAGGGTTAGAATAACGAGGACCGAATTATTTTGACAGCCTGGAAAAGGGGAGGAAGGATGAACAGAACTGCGGGAACAATTAGAGTTAAAAAAATAATTTATATTTCTACATTTGATCTCCATTAAGAACATAAGAAAAAAATAAAAGTGAGAAGAGGTGTTAAGTTCAGTTATATCAGTGGTGGGCATATGTCACTAATACTGTATCAGAATTTTATTTATTTATTTTTTAGTTACCAGACTAACCTTTTCACTGACTTTGAAAAACGGTTAAAAGCCTACTTGCTTAGCGTTTTTTTTTTTTTTTTAATTATAATCCTGGCCAAGACTAAAAAAAAAAAAAAAAAAAAAAAAAAAAACAGAAAAAGAGCAAAAATAGAAAAAGAGCAAAAATAGAAAAAGAGCATTTGTTTCCACTAAAAGGTTTTGCTAACTGACTGTCAACAGCTGACTAAGATGACAGTCTTTAGTTGGAAGGAGACATGTTAAAGTTGTCTTAGCATTTAGCTGTTTGTGTTAGTTTCTATTGCTTGTTTATTGTTAGCTTCCGCTAAATTAAGTTGTGCAGACTTTTAGTCCGCTAACAGCTTACTAACAAACTAACATGAACAGGTTTGTGTCAGTCCTACCATTCTTTAGCTGGAAGACAAAAGACTTTTAGCATTTAGCTGTTAGAGTTAGCATCTGCTAACCTTTACTTGTTTAGTGTCAGCACCTTTTAATTTTTTAAAACTTGTTTAGCTGGTATTGTTAGCTTCCATATTTTTTTTTTACTTGTTTAGCTTTTAATGTGAGCATCTGCTAACTTTTACTTGTTTACCTGTTTAGTGTTAGCTTCTGCTAAATAGTTTTGCTAACTTTAACTAACAAACTAACATTGGCAGGTTTGTGTCAGTTCCACCATTCTTCAGCTGGAAGGATGTGACACAGTCATCTTAGCTGTTAGCTTATGCTGTTTTATTTTGTACTTGTATAGCTTTAACTTCAGCTATTTAATTTTTAATTTTTTTCATGTTTAACAGTTTATGTTAGCGAAGCTATATGTTTAGTTAACATTTTTAACATTTAATATTTAGTTTAGTTATTTGGGTTAGCTGTGCCCACCACTGGATAATTCATATTTCATTTAGCAAAAAACAAAACAAAACAAAAAGCAGACCTCACAGTGTGTCCACCTTTTTTTCTCATTCAAGCTTGTCTTCCACTTYCAAACTCTCCTGGACAACTTTGAGCGGACGGTCATCGACGACAGCCGCCTGGCWGGCAGACCAGCTGAAATCTTTGTTGGAAAGTTGTTCAAGATGGAGATTTGGGAGCCCATGCTGACGTCCATGAGGGTCGGGGAGGTGGCTGAATTTTGGTGCGATGCCGTTGTGAGTTAAAAACATCGACTGCAAATACAGTATATTTTCCTAATATATAAAGGGTTAGTTGTAGGGAAGTAAGGAAAGCATTTTGTACATGTGCCAGCCTTCAGCAGCCTCCTACATGTTCAGTTCAGAATAATATAAATGTGTTTGAACTAATTTAGTCCTTTTCTTCTACAGAAAAAGTCAAATTGAGCGACATTGTTTCTCTGATTCGTAGGGGCTTAAAGCACCAGAGGCTTAGCATGATTAAGTGCTTTTTTGTTTGTTTTATTTTAGAATCTGTGTTCCTGTTTTTGTTGATGTGTCAATCTTGCAGCACACAGGCCTGTATCCCATCGTGTCCAAGGGAATGAGGCTGATTGCTCAAGGCAAAGACCCCCTGGAGGGTCAGAAACACATGTGTGGCATGGGAAACCTGTTCCACTATCACTCCACTGGCTTCCCTGAGCTGGATGAGATCATGCGAACGCCTCAGCCGCTGATATTCATCATGGAGCTCCTGCAGGTAAGCTGTGTCACCTGTCCTGAATTCCTAATGAAAAACAACAACAAAACAAGACGTTGCACTGAAACAAAATGATGGAAGAAGCAGCAAAACACAAAACATGTCCACGTTTTTACCTTTTTTTCAGCTGATTTTATTTAGTTTGTTTTGCATCTTTATCTTTAGATTAAAAGCAAACAAAGATGGTTCTAAACCATTTCTGAAATACGTAACATAAACCTTAAAGAAAACCAGTAAAACAGGTGGGTAAAACTCCTTTTAGTCATTAGTTTTAGTGTATTATTGTATTTTCACCAAGGGCCACATGAGCATTATGTAGTTGTAATTCAACGTTTCATGTTTACCTTTAACTAAAAGCTCAAAATGTTACACTCCTCTTCTCATTGTTAACATTGCTCAGTTGTAGCAAGCAATAACTGAGCTCTACGTGGTATTTCCTGCACAGAAACAGTGTTTTACTGCGTTTTTATAAACACTGAAAAGTACTGACTACGACTGACTAAATGTAAAACAAATAACACAGAAATACTATTACAAGTAATAGTTTTACTCATTTTCCATCAGAAAACTGGAGGGGGCACTCCAGTTTAAACTTACGTCTTGTAASTGGGAAATTCCCACTTCCCAGTACAAATGGGCCGCAGCAAAAGTAGCCGACGAAACGCAGCGAAACAGAGATTTTAAACTGCGAATTTTGCAAACTGCTGACCCCGTTTGAACCTTGTTCACCTTCACCAGTGGAATGCTGTCATTTCACTGGTGAAGTAATCGACAAAAGCAGWGCACACTTATTTGAAAACACGTTCCCTAAATTATTAACGCCCAATTAATACTAATTGATTAAATGGTCATTAAAATTTTAAGCTTCTGGTAAAGTTACTACAAMGCTGAGGCCTTTAAAACTAAAAAAGATTTTGACTTTTATTGCGCACTATTGTGTGCAAACAAATATTTCAGAAAGTTATTTTTCTATAAAAACTGAATTAAAAAATATTTAGTGAAGACTAGAAGATTTTTTTACAGTTTTGTTGTATTTTTTTAAGTTTATTTAATTTATTTATTTATTCATCATCAGTGACTTTTTTTAAGTGAAGAGAAAATAGAGACAAAGAGAAAAACAGAGAGAGAAGTAATTAGAAAGATAGAAAGACTGAAATAGCAATTAGAAGTATATTAAATATACACCAACAAAACATTATTTAAGTTGTTATTTTTCTAAAAAAACTGAATTAAAAAATATTTAATGAAGACTAGAAGATTTTTTTTACAGTTTTGTTGTATTTCTAAACTGCCCTTAATTAACCTCATTAAAATGTTGCAGAACTTCCTCCTGAACAAATGTAATCAGCTTCTTATCTGTATGACCCAACATTTATCATATCTACAATAAATCAGCTCTGTGATGTAAATGTTGACTTCTAATTTCTATAACTTTCAGATAAAAGCATTAAAAAGTATAGTTTTCTGTGGTTTTACATTAGATAAGTTCATGTGAGTGATTTTAAATCTTTGAGTTCATGCATTCAGACTCTTTTCTTCCATCCCGTCTCTTCCTGCCTGTGCTGCTTCCAGGTAGGAGACCCCATGTCCTACCACAGAGAGTCGTGGATGATGGACAAGGACGAGAAGCTGCAGACGGTGCCGGTCCTCCACATGCAGGGCAACGCTCTGGTCAAGCAGAGGCGGTTCAGAGAGGCCGCCAGCAAATACAAAGAAGCTGTGCTGCTGCTGAAAACCGTTCAGTCCAGGGTGAGTGAAGGATGGATGGAGAGAGAGAGTGAGATAAATGACTGCTACACTGGTGCAGGCAGGCACTTTTCATGTTTTTTTAATCTTTCTTTTTCCATGTGGGCAGAGAACTTTGTTTTTCTGTTTTGATCTTTTATTTCACTGTATTCCTGCTTCCAGGCAGCCTGGGTGGGACAGAAATCTGTCTGAGAACGAGGGTAGAAATGGAGACATACCGACAATAGAGCCGTCAGACTTGTTTTGCACAAGAATACTGTCATTTTCTTCAGCTTTCAGAACATCACAGTTTAAACTAGAGTTATTGCATTTCCTGCGAAAATGCAGTGTGAAGGCTTAATAATGAAAGATTTTAGCTGAAAACTGCTGAAGAAGCTGCAAAGTTTTAATAGCAAAACTGTTAATGCATGTTCAGTTTGAACAGCTGACTTGATGAAAGTAGGACAACAAAAGTGAAAAATCAGTAGAAAGATAGCAAAAAGTGGTCAAATTCTGAAAAGTTAAAAAACAATAGCTAAAATTAGCTAAATTAAGCTAAAAGTAGATGAAACAAGTTATCAGACAGGAAAATAAGAGTGAAAAGTTTCAAATGAGCTAAAAACAAGAAAATAAAAAACACTTACAATGTGTTTTGAAATGGCTAAATTAGCTGAAGTAGCTAAAATAAAGTAGCTTAAGTAGCTGAAGTTAGCACAAAAAGGWGATTTTGGCTGAAAAAAGTTCAAATTGGCTGAAATGAACTAAAAAGTAGCTAAGAACACAAACAGCTGAAATTTTATTTCCACCTTTTATTTTATTTTGATTTGTGTATTTTCTTTGTTTTCTATTGTATATGGTTATTTTGTTTTTTAATGAAATGAATAAATTTTTTGAAATAAATTGACAAAAACAGCTTTAAAAGTTTACATTAAGAGAAGAATAGCAGAAAATGATATGAATATGAATGATGGCTAAAAAAAACTAAAATCAACAAAATAGAAGCTGATGGAAACTGAAGCATCAAGTAAAAAATGAACCAGAATAAAAGTTAAAAAGTGCAGTAAAGATTTATGAACATTTTAAAGAGGTTTAAGGATGTTGAAGACGACTCCGTTAATTTTCAATGAGACATAAATGGCAGAAAAAGTTAAACATGTCAAAAAGTATAAATAGCTGACATACCAAACTCCTGAAGCAGCTGAACCTTCTGATACACAAACTGTTGAAAAAACACAAAAATTGTGTAACTAGATGCGTGCCAAAAAACATCCAGAAGAAAAATTGTTAAAAGCCTTTTAAAGTATTTAAAGTAAAGATTTTAGTATTGTGCCACCCCCACAGCTGCATGATGTTTAATCAGTTTGGAAATATTTAAAACAACTGTCTTCATGTCAGTTATTAAAGTAAGTGCCAGGTAACAGCAGCCCTCTGAGCATGTTCCTCGTCTCTGCATGCGTTAGGAGATGCCGGGCGATGTAGACTACATTAACTTGGGWCGGATGATTGTTCCCCTGGAGCTGAACTACTGCCAGTGCATGTTGGAGCTGGAGGAGTACTACGAGGTCATTGAACACACCACCGAACTGCTGGAGAAACACAAAGGTACGAGAAAATCCCCAGAAATGATACTGCTTCTGCAAYGAAGTTCTTCTTTTCCCAAAAAAGAAACAAGACGGGRCATTTGAGTTTCCTCCTCCTGAGTCACCTCCACAGTCCCACACAGTTGCATCACTCCCTCATACCTCTGAGGTTAGCAGCTGCACGCTTAATCTTGTGCACTGAGGTGGTTTAACAGTGTGAGTTTATTATTCACTGCAGAGATGTGAACTCTCAACATGCACCATATGTTCACAGAAGCTCAAGGCTAATGTTGTGGCCACATTTAAAAGAAGCAATTTTTGTTGCCYGTAATTATGGTATTTATTTACAACAACATGTTTTTCCTTATTTTAATTTAGACGTAAATGTGTTTATTCTTCTTAAAGCTGTGAGGACTGCCTTCTGTAAAAACCTTTCTTACTGGTAATGTCACCTGTAATCGAAATGCACAAATGCTAATGATGAATTAAGCTGGCTAATAAATAATGCTTCAATAATACATCAAAGTTTGAATCAAGCCAAATTTATCTTGAACACATGTAGCCCAGCTTTATTAACCATTTAAAATATGTTCATATTTTTGATTTGACAAACATCTGCAWTGTTAAATCCTCGTTATTGCTGTTTTAAATACAATGTAAACCCATCAGCCGTCATTATAACTAGGTAAACACCGGCGCTAATGTGTTTAATGTTGATTTAACATCTAATTACAGTGACAATATCAAAAAGGTTAGTTAGCAAATGAGCCGTCATTTGATGTGAAACTAAAAAACTTCCTTAACTACTTCAGGAAGCATCATTTTGTGAATCCCAGAGGTCTGAGTTTGGACATCTAAACTGCATTTCTTCTTTGAGATAAGCAGTGGTCTGCATCCTGTATATCTGTCGTTAAACAGCATGAATGAAAGAGTAATACTGTTGACTTTCTTCACAAGTTCAAAAAACAAACAAATCCAATTCTTAGCATTATATAGACTCATTGTATACATATTAAAGTGTATAAATTAATCATAAAGTTTAGCATTTTAAACTAATTTTTAAACTTCCTTTGCAAAGCAAGGGCACCTGGGTAATTTCAACAAATAAAATTTTTTTGTTTTTCATAATAAATTTCTCAGTAGGTTTCTTGTTTATGCATCTTGAATGCTTAAAATGAAAAGTGGAATAGAGTTAGCATAACTTAGCTTAGCATTATTAGCTTACTACTACTACTACTGTAGACTATCATAACAAGACTAGACTAGTGGAAATAGTTTGCTAACTCGTACTAATGAAGAAAATTACATTATTTCCTTAAATTTACTATTTTTTATAAACATTAAAAATGTTTCATTTCAAACATTGAAAGAAGTTGCAGCACCTGAAAAGAGTTTAAGCTAGTTAAAACAGTTTTGCTAACTCTTGCTAACAAAACAAACCCAGTTACTCCACACAAATAAAATAAAAAAATATATATTTCATTCACAATTTCAGTAGGTCCTGTATTTGACTCCTATATACTCAAAAGTAAAACTGGACGGTGTTAGTGCATTTATCTGATCTTAGCCTAATCAATGGTTGCTTAAGTTTGTTTAGCTTAGCATACTATAAAAAGGGTGAGCTTGAGCTAGTCTAAAGAAGTTACTCATACTAATAAAACAGACATTATTTTCATGCACATTATTCAATAAACATTAAATTTAGCCTAATTTTCCATAAACACCATCTGTAATTTCATAAACTCTGTGTACAGTTTCTTTATTCTTGTTCTAGCCTTTCTGTTAGCAGCGGCTGAATGTAGCAGCACTGTCCTCTGTCAGTGTGTAGGAGGACTTGAGGTTGATGTTACTGAAGGTTTTACAGCTGGAGCAGCCCTGGGAATCGTACTGTCAGACTCAGGACCAGTCATATAAAGCCTGGAAGATCCTCACATGCTGGAACAGCCTCCACTTCAGAGCCTCGAGTCGGCCCCCCACCCTGTGACAGGATCTACTGAGACAGGCTGTATTCAACACTGTATTCTTCAGCCAGCATCCTCAGTTTTACWATGACTTATTGTGTGTTTGTGTACCTCTGCACCACTTTTAGTGTGTGGGGAGAAAATATGTTTAGACAGTCAGAATGTGGGTATAAATAAAATCACTCAATGTACAGATTAGGAAAAAACTGAGTTAATGTGACATAATTACAGGACAGAATACAAATAGTTTTAGTTTTTGATCTTCACTGGTCAGGTCCAAAAGGTTGCCAAAAGGTTATATTCCTCCTTCAAATGTTTAAAATAACAATCCACCTCATAATAGCATTCTCTTCCTACCTTCTTGTTGTAGCAGTACCTTTTGTTTGACTTCTGTACAGATTTTCAGCGCCTTCTCATTCACCTTTCAGCTTCATTCCTTGCTGTGTTGTTGTTTCTCCTGTCATCAGTGTCATGTTGTCTGCAGCAGTTTAAGTCAGCCGCTCCGCTGCCGTTTCATCCCCTCAACACAGTTGTTCTTTGGAAAAAGGCGTCTCGCTGCAGTGCCTCTGCTTTTGCCAGAGGCGACCTGTTTAACTGTTGGCTGAATAAAAACTTAACATAGACAGAAATTAAATGATGGAAAAAACAACAACAACAACAACTGAGAAACAAAACAGTGTAAAACAGAAGTGCTGCAGTGAGTGTGAACACTTTTTCCATGTTGGGAAGTTTCTATTCGAGGAAAGATTAAAAGATTTTCACACCAATAACACTAATCTTTAGTTTTCTCTAAAGCCTGATTCACACGGCATGATTTAAAATTGTCGGTTGATTTTCAAAAAATGATAAAAAAAAAAAAAACAGATTTGGTCCTACAGTGTGTGGTGTACAGCCGCACAGCAAATACAACACATCACACAGCAACAGTTATTACTCAAGAACATTCACACATCACATGGGAAATCTCACAAAACCTTGTTTTCTGATTGGCTACACGTCACATTCAACAGGCTGCGAGCTCGTTTGTCCTCGAGGGAACACCACACACGATGGGATGTTGGACCAAGACAAACATGTTGAATATCCTCGATTTGAGATCGGAACGGTCCTGACGTCCTTCTGGGTTGACTACCTTTAACACACCACACACGGCAGGAATATCTCTTAAGATTATCTTGAGAACTAAGTTAATCAGGGCGTCCTGGGCCAAAAATAATAATTATCTTGTGTGGAGACAGGACATACAGCAGGGCAAGGGTGGGAATAAAACTGAAGGCCAGAACATCTAAATTTACAGCCACTACTCCCGGTCTCCCTGGTCAACCAAGGACTCGGTCCAGGGTCCTTCCATAGAAGCGGCTCCTGAATTTGGACAGAGCCACAGTTTGGCGCAACGGTTCCCAAACTTTTCCACAAATAAGAGTAGCAGAGAGCTTTTCTCCCAACTATTGTTTTGGGTGCTAAACTTATCAAATCAAATAAAGATATTAAGCTACTTTTATTCATTTTAATACACACCAACCTCCCTCTTTTGTGATAAGACAAAAGGTTTTTAGTCATTTTTAAATGTAATTTATTCTGAAATTCTTCTCAAGACACCACCTTGATGTTTCAGCACCTGCTGGTCCTGGGTCTTCTCCCAGTTGAACGTGCCCAGAACACCTCTCCAGGAAAGGGTCTGGGGGGCAACCTTACCAGCTGCCTGAACCACCTCAGACGATGAGACCTTGGTGCTCTGACCAAACCTGGCTCCTGGAACAGGACAGAACTATGTTGGCTAGTTTGTAGAATTTTTCTAATTAATTAGAGTTCCCACGGGTCCTTGAAATCCTTGAAAGTTTGTGAATTTGAAAAAAAAGATTTCAAGGCCCTGGAAAGTTTGTGAAAACAGCCAAAAATTACACTTGTCCTTGAAAATCCTTGCATTTTTTTGGGAGGTGAAGTTCTCAATTCACAAC